CCAATCTAATCCTCTGTTTGTCTTACAGGATCTCTACTCTTAAAGGGCTTGACATCAAATTCAATAAGAAGATCTCAGGCTGGCATAACTTGGAGCTCATTGGCTTTCAGTCCCCGTTCTCTTTCTCTCTCTATCTCTGCTTCATCCCATCTCTCTGTGCACACTCCTGCCGCTCAATACTGTAGGGTTTTTGGAGGTCACAGTGATGTAGGCCCCTCTCTGATCTGATTTAAAAGGGCAGCCGTGATCTGAGTACATCCTGCTGAAAAGTTAACGATAAAAAATGTTATTCCAGCAACATAAAATCATGCACCATGTCGATGCAGCTTTGAAGCCTGACCTCAGAATAAATGTGATACTCCTTCATTTTGTGTGTCCTGGATGTATGTGGACTTAACTGTATCTAAATCTATGTAGAAACTTCTGTTTTTCCACATGCTGATGCGAACAGTCCTCCCACACAGAGTCCTTGAGTGTGGTCACCTTCCCCATGGTCACACGTCAAAATATAGCCCGGACTGGAAGAAGGGAGAGGAGGTGGGGGTGGGGTTGGGTGGAGGGATGGAGGACAAAGGGACAAAGGTGGAGGCTGCTGTGTTTTTCCTATTGAAAGAACTGTTACATGCCTACACAGAGCTCACTAGAGATCTGACACTGTTTTTTGTTAATAGATTCTTAATGATTCTTTATATTGCCAGTTTTCTAGAGGAGTAATGTTAAGTCATTATAATTAATAATAATAATTTTATAATAACAGTTTGTTTTTGTTTTTGTTTTTTGCCAGATTCCTCCATGTTGTCTCCATAACCAACAGTATCTACTAGCACCAGAAGCCAAAGCTGAAATCAGGCTGCAGACTGGGGTTTGGGTCAATTTAACTTTGATTCATGTCTCTTGACAATCCAAGGATAGATCTGGACTGGACCTTGGTTGTTACTGATGTTCTGTACAGATTGTCTGGTAATGTAATCACAGATCCACGATGCATCTTAGTGTAGAGCACTGTGCACACAACACACATTTATGAACAGGGTAGTGTCCTAAATGAAAACTGTTGCAGGGCATTCACCGCAAATGACTACTGCAACATGTGACTGTGATTGTTGTCCACCTGCTGGCCATGCTCACTAGACTTGAATGTTCACAAATGTACTGTCATCTGTGTGTCCCATGAAATGTGATGTGGAAATTGCACCACCATCTGCATCGACATCTCCTTCCTAGGTTACCACTTTTACAAGTTTGAAATGTGGTTCCTCCCTTTTCGCAAAGTAGCCAAGACAGCAACTGTGAGAGACATTCACCATTGTACTCCAACTCTATATTCTTTGATTATTGTGAATGCATTAAAGTCATAATGCAGGTAAATAGGAACACACCTAAACACCTAAGCAAAATGGCAAATGTTTGAGTTAAAATCCAGCTGACCATGACTATGATTAACTAAGATGTTAAAACTGATGGATTATAGCTTAACATACACAACCTGTTCTGACCACATTTTTAAAAAACTGTTTTTGTTGCCATCCTGTTGATTCAGTTTTTTTTCTCATTTCAAAGCAGCACTAACATTACAGACAGTTGTTACACCACAGACCCCTTTGTTTATATCTGCTTTGCCATGAACAAGTCTAATGTTAACCATGCTTTTTTATTATTATTATTATTTTTACAAGCATTTTGTAAAACCTTCCTCCTCTGCCTAGCCTCCTGACTCTCTCTGATTGTCTGAGTGGAGGGAGGTGTGCTTAAGTCAGAGCAGAGCCCCATCAGCTGCAACACATCATGCTATCAAGACTTATACCACAAGTCATCTCTGCCAAATTCACTCTGCTACGTATACTGTACTTCCTGCTCAGTCATTTCCCCCCCTGTGACCTGTTTGCCAAACCTCTCTTGCTGTAGTCTGGTTCGCTTTGCTCTGGCCCATTTCCATTTTCAATCTACCCCACCCAGCTCCTCTGTCCTGGACCCATCCTCAGGTCAGGGTGTCTACCTATTCATCTCTGGACCAGCTCAGTTTAGCTATCCAGTCTCTGGGCACTGCTCAGCATGCCCAGCATGGCCCCTACATCACTTTGTGTCCACAATAAATAGTCTTCCTCTATTTAACTTTTGTCTTATAGCTCATGTGTCCCATACTTGTATTCACTTGCCTGGCCATAGGCTTCAATTATACTCCCTTGCAGATGAAAGCACAGTCAGCTGCAGACAGCACAGATGCAAAGCTTTTGTTGTTACACTTCCAGTCTGCTTGGAGCCTATTCCTCCAAGGAGTGTATGAGCACCTGCCACATTTATAGTCAGGACACAACAAATTGGGGGGTAGACAACCATCCACAAAGAGCTTCACATACACACTCAGAGGACACAGTTTATCTCAAAAAAACATTTCCTGCTGTAGTAATAAATATAGTTTGAGCTAGTGTTTGGCCATAAATGTACAGCTGAGTGACTGGAAAGGTTTCTAGTTCCAAAGTATTGGATAAACTTTAGTTTTGATCTTAATTAAGTTAATTAAGACAGTTACCATGGACAGACATTGCCACCTTACCACTGAGCACAATGACTTTCACTGGACACTCTTCTTGATTTGCATGGTTAAAGAATTTTCCAGTAATCTTCAACTCTAAGATATTATTTATTTTCTAGATAAATCTTATCATCTATTTCTTTCCTATAGGTGGTAACACACAGTATACACAGCAGAGATACACTATACATACTAGTGTATGTAGCACCTGCTGGTCTTTCAAAGAGGGGAAGCTCATTATCTGCCTACATCAACATACACACATTGAACTAATGAAAACTATATTAAACTGGAATGAGGAAATTTGAGAATTATGTTAAACTGAGTGCCGGCCTGGACGTGGGAGCAGTGTGGGTCTCTGACTGTAGTGGGGACTGCTCTGTGACACAACTTCATGATACATGATTCCAGTAGTCCCATTAAGCTGGCCTTCCCTCCCTGGCCACCAGGAGATGCCTTCATCATTTTTCGTGAACTGACTGATTCCATTTCCATGTTTTCCATATTCCATGTTGTAAATTGTTTTTTTTTTGTCTGTATACAACATCTATTGCACGTCTGCCCGTCCTGGGTGAGGGATCCCTCCTCTGTTGCTCACCCTGAGGTTTCTCCATTTTTTTCCCTGTTAAAGGGTTTTCTTGGGAGTTTTTCCTCAGTCGATGTGAGGGTCTAAGGGCAGAGGATGTTGTCATGATGCTGTGTAAAGCCCTTTGAAACAAACTGTTTGTAAAAACGGGCTATACAAATAAAAATGCCTAATTGCCTCCACTTTGTAGACTGACTGCCTATGAGTGCTTTGGGATAAGGCAGGGGCACATGGCAGCACCCGCTGGTCATTGAAGACAACAGCAATACATGCTTTCACGTCAGAGCCTCCAAACACCAGAAAAGTCTCCAGTAACACCAGAAAAAGTTGCTAGACTTGTCACTAGTGGAGTATTTGGAAAGTCGCCAGATTTAGCCAGAAAGTTGCCAAGTTGGCAGCAATGTCCACAATGGGACTAAACTCAAAAATCCTTTCAAAATTGCTGTCAATCAAAATGGGATTCAGCCTTGAGACAGATCCTCCAATCATCATGCAGAGGCTCAGCATCCTGGCCCACTGCTCCATTCACTCCCATAGAAGCTGAGCGTCCATGGGAGAGACAAAACTGCAGCATTTATCCAATGACTGTCTAGTTTTGCTGCGGTGAAAGAAAATAATCTATGCCGCCCCACTGAAGTCCTTGGACACTGAGCTTCAACAGGTTTAATGCACTGAGATACTACAAGAATGTGAATGAGAGAAAAATTGCAGTCAACAGTCAAACTGCGATAAGTAGCTATTCTGAAGGAACTCGTCTTAAGGTCTTTCCACACCTACTCTGTTTTTTATCGTATGTGTTTGTCTAATCTGTTACCCGAAAAGGATCTTTACGCACTAACTCCGATGCGTTTTATTACTATGCTTTCTTGTTTTCTGTTCCAAAGGTCATTACACAGTGAGCATGATTTTGTTGTCCTCTCTCTTATCAAACAATAAAAAGGAAAATATATATATATTATGTCCATCCAATCCTGACAGGACATCAAAAGCAAGGGGTCCTGTTTGTAAATGAGCTGCAAAATTATCATGATTCAGGATGTCAGTTGTCCAGTTTGATAGATCATTAGCTCTGGTGGAGCCACACATTACAAAGAAGATGAACAATTTACATAATCCAGAACAGCAGCTGGTAGTATGTCTAGGACACACACAGATACACACAGGCAGTTTAGCCAGACTCTCTAACAGACTCGAAGCACTGATGTGAGTGGTCAGAAAGGCCACACAGAAAAACAGAAAATTGAACCCGGTCTGAAAACTTTAATGATGGATGAAATTTTGAAGTCAGTGTTTAAACATGATCAACACAACATAACGTCGAATTTGTTTTTAAACGTGAGGCAATTTCAGACGAGAAAAACAGACTTGGTGTGCAAAGGACTTTAGACCTGCACGTGTTTGAACGATTGTTAAGACAATAAAATACTTGTACAAGTACAAGTCATCTGGCGCTTTGGTTCAGTACTCCAGTAACCTGGATTTGGTCAAGGACTGCTGACTAAAGGACTTAATGGTTAAAGTACCTCAGATCTTAGAGCTTTGGCTAATTGTAAGCCAGCATGCCAAGATGACATCAAGCTTGCTGTGCGCAGCATGGGTCTTACTTCACGGACCTGAACGTGAACGTGACTACGGAAACTGTGCTGCCATGGTGCTCCTGCGTTTGACGTGGGGAAATCCACCAGCATAGGCTGAGCCTGACAAAGCCCAGGCAAAACCAAGGCATTTGTTTGGCAAATGTGTTGACATTCACGAGCTTTAGCGTTTGCATGCTCACTGTCACTGACACGGACCAATTTTGAGTGATCTCTGTGGAGCCTGTCAAGTGAAGGACTGCAACTAACTATCTGATTCTCTTTTAAAAGCCTGGAGGTGGAGCCTTGTTTCCACCCGGTTTCCAACCAGGGACCTGTCGCGTGTGAAGCAAACGTAATAGCCACTACACTACGGAAACTGCCCTCTGAGCCAGGGCACACATGGGCCTGACGTGCAGAAGTCTACCAGAGCACACCCAGACTGATACATTTAAGTGAGCTGTACTAGCAAAAAAAACAAAGAAAGTCTCCCCGTCAGGGAATCGAACCCCGGTCTTCTGCATGACAGGCGGAGATACTGTCCACTATACTAACGAGGACCGATTCAAGTGGAGTTATGTGCAGGTCAGACTGGACTTATTCCCCAATCCCTGTGGAAACTACTGGTTGGGATAAGCGGTCTCACCAGTTGGGCTGGTCCATCTTCCCACATCATCCACGTCCATGGACTGCTGCTGGAGGTTTGAAATTTACCGTTTTGTGGCCTGTACTATGAAGGGCAAGTACAGGTCACTGTACAAGTACAAGTCATCAGGCGCTTTGGCTCAGTACTCCAGTAACCTGGATTTGGTCAAGGACTGCTGACTGCGATCCTTAAACTACCTCAGATCTTAGAGCTTTGGCTAATTGTAAGCCAGCACGCCAAGATGCTTGCTGTGCGCAGCACGGGCCTGGCTTCAGCTCATTTAGAAAAACCACAGAAGGAGAAGCTTGTTTCCGCCCAGTTTCAAACTGGGAATTTTTCGTGTGTCAGGCGAACGTGATGACCACTACACTACGGAAACTGTGCTGCCATGGCTCTCCTGCGTTTGACGTGGGGAAATCCACCAGCATAGGCTGAGCCTGACAAAGCCCAGGCTTGCTCTGTCAGCAGAAAACAACGGTTTTCTGCGGAATCCATAACCTGACCAAGACATTTATTTGGCAAATTTGTTGACATTAAGAGCCTTCACATTTGCACAACCACGCTGACTGACATGGACCAATTTTGAGTGATCTCCATGAAGCCCTGTCATGTGGAGGACTCTCACTGACTGCTTGATTCTCTTCTAAAAGTGTAAAGGAGCCTTGTTTCCGCCCGGTTTCGAACCGGGGACCTTTCGCGTGTGAGGCGAACGTGATAACCACTACACTACGGAAACTGCCCTCTGAACCAGGGCACATGTGGGCCCAAGGTGTGGAAGTCCACCAGCGCACACCCAAGCTGATAAATTTAAGTGAGCTGTACTAGCAAAAACCCAAAGAAAGTCTCCCCGTCGGGGAATCGAACCCCGGTCTTCCGCGTGACAGGCGGAGATACTGTCCACTATACTAACGAGGACTAACTCCAGTGCAGTTATGTGCAGGTCAGACTGGACTTATTCCCCAATACCTGTGGAAACTACTGGTTGGGATAAACGGTCTCACCAGTTGGGCTGGTCCGTCTTCCCACATCATCCACGTCCATGGACTGCTGCTGGAGGTTTGAAATTTACTGTTTTGTGGCCTGTACTATGAAGGGCAAGTACAGGTCACTGTACAAGTACAAGTCATCAGGCACTTTGGCTCAGTACTCCAGTAACCTGGATTTGGTCAAGGACTGCTGACTGCGATCCTTAAACTACCTCAGATCTTAGAGCTTTGGCTAATTGTAAGCCCACACGCCAAGATGACATCAAGCTTGCTGTGCGCAGCATGGGTCCGGCTTCACGGACCTGGCTTCAGCTCATTTAGAAAACCCTCGGAAAGAGAAGCTTGTTTCCGCCCAGTTTCGAACTGGGGACCTTTCGCGTGTTAGGCGAACGTGATGACCACTACACTACGGAAACCGTGCTGCCATGGTGCTCCTGCATTTGACGTGGGGAAATCCACCAGCATAGGCTGAGCCTGACAAAGCCCAGGCTTGCTCTGTCAGCAGAAAACAATGATTTTTTGCAGAATCATCAACCTGACCAAGGCATTTGTTTGGCAAATTTGTTGACATTAAGAGCCTTCACATTTGCACAACCACGCTGACTGACATGGACCAATTTTGAGCGATCTCCATGAAGCCTGTCATGTGGAGGACTCTCACTGACTGCTTGATTCTCTTCTAAAACCGTGGAGGAGCCTTGTTTCCGCCCGGTTTCGAACCGGGGACCTTTCGCGTGTGAGGCGAACGTGATAACCACTACACTACGGAAACTGCCCACTGAGCCGCACCATGCACCGGATGTGGGGAAATCCACCAGCGCACGCCAAGGCTGATAAATCATCACTGAGCTGTACTAGCAGAAAACAAAGATACTCTCCCCGTCGGGGAATCGAACCCCGGTCTTCCGCGTGACAGGCGGAGATACTGTCCACTATACTAACGAGGACTGACGCCACCCACGTTATGTGCAGGTCAGACTGGAATTATTACGCAATCACTGTGGAAACTGATGGCTGGATTAAGCAGTCTCACCAGTTGGGCTGGTCAGTCCTCCCACATCATCCACGTCCATGGACTGCTGCTGGAGGTTTGAAATTTACTACTTTGTGGCCTGTACTATGAAGGGCAAGTACAGGTCACTGTACAAGTACAAGTCATTGGGCGCTTTGGCTCTGTACTCAAGTAACCTGAATTTGGTCATGGACTGCTGTCTAAAGGATTTAATGGTTAAACTACCTCAGATCTTAGAGCTTTGGCATCTGCAAATACACACTGGCTGTGGCAGACATCAACACATTTGGAGTCGTCTTCCTCCAGCGTTCCAATGGTGCTAATTGTAAACCAGCACGCCAAGATGACATCAAGCATGCTGTGCGCAGCACGGGCCTGGCTTCAAGGACCTGGCTTCACCTCGTTTAGAAAAACCACAGAAGGAGAAGCTTGTTTCCGCCCACTTTCAAACTGGGAACTTTTCGTGTGTCAGGCAAACGTGATGACCACTATACTTGGGAAACTGTGCTGCCATGGCTCTCCTGCGTTTGACGCGGGGAAATCCACCAGCATAGGCTGAGCCTGACAAAGCCCAGGCTTGCTCTGTCAGCAGAAAACAATGATTTTCTGCGGAATGGTTAACCTGACTAAGGCATTTAAATGTCAACACACTCACTGACATGGACCAATTTTGAGTCATCTCTACGGAGGCTATCAAGTGGAGGACTGCCACTAACTACTTGATTGTCTTTTAAAACTGTGGAAGAGGAGAAGCTTGTTTCCGCCCGGTTTCGAACCGGGGACCTTTCGCGTGTTAGGCGAACGTGATGACCACTACACTACGGAAACTGTGCTGCCATGGCCCTCCTGCGTTTGATGCGGGGAAATCCACCAGCATAGGCTGAGCCTGACAAAGCCCAGGCTTCCTCTGTCAGCAGAAAACAATGATTTTCTGCGGAATCATCAACCTGACCAAGGCATTTGTTTGGCAAATGTGTTGACATTACAAGCCTTCACATTTGCACAACCACGCTGACTGACATGGACCAATTTTGAGTGATCTCCATGAAGCCTGTCATGTGGAGGACTCTCACTGACTGCTTGATTCTCTTCTAAAAGCATGGAAGTGGAGCCTTGTTTCCGCCCGGTTTTGAACCGGGGACCTTTCGCGTGTGAGGCGAACGTGATAACCACTACACTACGGAAACTGCCCTCTGCACCAGGGCACACGTGGGCCCAAGGTGTGGAAGTCCACCAGCGCACACCCAAGGTGATACATTTAAGTGAGCTGTACTAGCAAAAACCCAAAGAAAGTCTCCCCGTCGGGGAATCGAACCCCGGTCTTCCGCGTGACAGGCGGAGATACTGTCCACTATACTAACGAGGACTGACGCCACCCACGTTATGTGCAGGTCAGACTGGAATTATTACGCAATCACTGTGGAAACTAATGGCTGGATTAAGCGGTCTCACCAGTTGGGCTGGTCAGTCCTCCCACATCATCCACGTCCATGGACTGCTGCTGGAGGTTTGAAATTTACTACTTTGTGGCCTGTACTATGAAGGGCAAGTACAGGTCACTGTACAAGTACAAGTCATTGGGCGCTTTGGCTCTGTACTCAAGTAACCTGAATTTGGTCATGGACTGCTGTCTAAAGGATTTAATGGTTAAACTACCTCAGATCTTAGAGCTTTGGCATCTGCAAATACACACTGGCTGTGGCAGACATCAACACATTTGGAGTCGTCTTCCTCCAGCGTTCCAATGGTGCTAATTGTAAACCAGCACGCCAAGATGACATCAAGCATGCTGTGCGCAGCACGGGCCTGGCTTCAAGGACCTGGCTTCACCTCGTTTAGAAAAACCACAGAAGGAGAAGCTTGTTTCCGCCCACTTTCAAACTGGGAACTTTTCGTGTGTCAGGCAAACGTGATGACCACTATACTTGGGAAACTGTGCTGCCATGGCTCTCCTGCGTTTGACGCGGGGAAATCCACCAGCATAGGCTGAGCCTGACAAAGCCCAGGCTTGCTCTGTCAGCAGAAAACAATGATTTTCTGCGGAATCATCAACCTGACTAAGGCATTTAAATGTCAACACACTCACTGACATGGACCAATTTGAGTCATCTCTACGGAGACTATCAAGTGGAGGACTGCCACTAACTACTTGATTGTCTTTTAAAACTGTGGAAGAGGAGAAGCTTGTTTCCGCCCGGTTTCGAACCGGGGACCTTTCGCGTGTTAGGCGAACGTGATGACCACTACACTACGGAAACTGTGCTGCCATGGCCCTCCTGCGTTTGATGCGGGGAAATCCACCAGCATAGGCTGAGCCTGACAAAGCCCAGGCTTCCTCTGTCAGCAGAAAACAATGATTTTCTGTGGAATCATCAACCTGACCAAGGCATTTGTTTGGCAAATGTGTTGACATTACAAGCCTTCACATTTGCACAACCACGTTGACTGACATGGACCAATTTTGAGTGATCTCCATGAAGCCTGTCATGTGGAGGACTCTCACTGACTGCTTGATTCTCTTCTAAAAGCATGGAAGTGGAGCCTTGTTTCCGCCCGGTTTTGAACCGGGGACCTTTCGCGTGTGAGGCGAACGTGATAACCACTACACTACGGAAACTGCCCTCTGCACCAGGGCACACGTGGGCCCAAGGTGTGGAAGTCCACCAGCGCACACCCAAGCTGATACATTTAAGTGAGCTGTACTAGCAAAAACCCAAAGAAAGTCTCCCCGTCGGGGAATCGAACCCCGGTCTTCCGCGTGACAGGCGGAGATACTGTCCACTATACTAACGAGGACTGACTCCAGTGCAGTTATGTGCAGGTCAGACTGGACTTATTCCCCAATCCCTGTGGAAACTACTGGTTGGGATAAACGGTCTCACCAGTTGGGCTGGTCCGTCTTCCCACATCATCCACGTCCATGGACTGCTGCTGGAGGTTTGAAATTTACTGTTTTGTGGCCTGTACTATGAAGGGCAAGTACAGGTCACTGTACAAGTACAAGTCATCAGGCACTTTGGCTCAGTACTCCAGTGACCTGGATTTGGTCAAGGACTGCTGACTGCGATCCTTAAACTACCTCAGATCTTAGAGCTTTGGCTAATTGTAAGCCCGCACGCCAAGATGACATCAAGCTTGCTGTGCGCAGCATGGGTCCGGCTTCACGGACCTGGCTTCAGCTCATTTAGAAAACCCTCGGAAAGAGAAGCTTGTTTCCGCCCAGTTTCAAACTGGGGACCTTTCGCGTGTTAGGCGAACGTGATGACCACTACACTACGGAAACCGTGCTGCCATGGCGCTCCTGCATTTGACGTGGGGAAATCCACCAGCATAGGCTGAGCCTGACAAAGCCCAGGCTTGCTCTGTCAGCAGAAAACAATG